GTGTACACTATCCTAACTTGCATAATCTGGAATTTAACATATGATCCTAAGGCAAAATTTATTTGGTTATTTATTTTCATTGCATTTTCTTTTATTAAAATTAGGCATTGGGTCCCGCAGTGGTAATTCCTGGTCAGACAGACTAGCTGGTTCTGGTGGGAGACCTCTTTTGGGAGCAGCCTCCTCTCGGCCAGGACCTCCTACAATATGTCCTGGAGGTGGCGTTGGTGACGAACCTTTCGATGAGCAAATTTCTACTAGTTGGAATTCTTCTGTTGCTAGTGGTAACAATAGAGTGGGATCTTCACATCTAAACGGATCGGTTGGTTGTACTGATTCTTGGGGTGGCGAGTGGACCGACTTGGCTGCAGCAACAGGTCTCATAGAGAATCAAAAGCCTGGAAAGTGGCATGGGCACCAGCGACCTATGCCGATTTCTAGTTGGGTATGTATCCTGTTTCCTATTTAGGTTTGATAGGTTTTTAAATTAACAAACAGAATAACTCAAAACGGGATTTAGGGAAATTATTTTTATAAATATTTGCCTCATTTTTAAATCCTAGAATCTTTATTTGTCATCCTTCGCTCATCATGACTTATTATTTTATTTATTATGTCTTATTTTAACTTTTTGTTTTGATACTCTGCATTTAATCTTACCCTTTTATTAGCAATCTAACAACAATGCTAACAGCAATTCTGGAAATAGACCATTGCTACAGCTTCGTCCTCATAGTAACACTTATCGCGCTGACTCCGTAAGACACTTTATGTCTCTCGGTTACAGAAAAGAGGACGTCCAGGCTTGTTTGATTGAATGCAACATGGACATTGAACGTGTGGCTGCAATGTTATGTGAGCGTTACCAGCCCTCACCTGCCGCTGGCGCTGCCCACTCCGCTTCATCCTTTTCTCGCTTCTCTGGTCAGTCCCTAAATGGTCCTAATGGACATTCGATTTGTCCAGATGTCTTCAAGCCGATGTTGGAAGCTGGCGCAAGCCTGAGTCCTGGGGATGCTTTAGGATTCAGACAGTTCGGAGCCGTAGCTGCCGCTACCGCTTCTGCAGCCTCGACTGCACAACCACAACAAACTCATAATCGGCTTCCAGCAAGCGTTGGCATGGTTGGTCAACTAGCCACTCAACATCCGAATTCGGCCATCATGCGACACCAAATCACACAACAGGTCCATTTTATCTTCCTCTACTTTTTAGTTATATTTTTTAATGCTAAAACTATTGAATGTTTTTTTGTATCCTGGAGTCTTATTCAACGTTTAATCCACTTTTAATTGCCTAGATCAGTGGTTACCAAACTTTTTCCTAGTCGAATCAGATTCCGCTGAGCCTTATCGTTTAGAAGGGGATATTCATCTTTTATTGAAATCCAAAATTCTGTCAATTCCATGCTGCCAAATTTCTGGGTTAAATTAATTCTGAAGCTTCTACAATATTTCGCCGCGCCCCTGTAGAGAGGCCGAAGCACCCCGGGCGCCGCGGCGCACTGTTTGGGAATCATTGGCCTAGATTAAGAATCCTCTGGTCCTCATTCTTTTGTGTTTTT